CACGCTGGACCCCCTGCACCTGCACCCTGGACCCCTGCACCTGCGCCCAGAACCCCCCCCCCAGTGCGCCCAGAACGTTCCCTCGCGTCCTGGACCTTCCCCCCCCTGACGCCCACGGTGCCCGCATACTGGACCCCCTCTGTGCCCACTCACGCCCTGGACCCCCCACACCTGCGTCCTGGACCCTCCAGCAGGCACAGGCCTCGGTGCCTGCAAAACAGACACGGGGAAGGATGGGCCTCGGGCTGGTCTCCGAGAGGACCCCACCAGCGGCCAGGCGGCAGTCTCGCAGTTGGAGGCCCTTAGGGATTTACTGTTAAGGGCTGGACAGCTCGTCTCAGCAGGGTGCCCGCCCTGGCGGTCATCGCTTCCAACACGGGAGCTGTAAATGCCCAAATTTCACCACTGTGACCCAATCAAGTCATCTGGAGAGAGATGTACAAGCCTCCTGAGATCGATCTTGGTGATAGAAATGTCATTAAGATTAGGAATTAAGGCCACTGAACATTATATAGTGTGATCTAAACATAGACACTCAACCCACCTTTTGTTTACCGTGAAGTCAACCTTTGCAGAAGGACGGGAAATCAGCTACAACCTCACTCAGACCAGTGGGGAAGGGCGACCCAGTGCAGGGTCCTGGCCCAGAGACACCGACTAGGTGGGCAAGGAGGGGCCTATGTGGGCCGTGCGAGCAGGGGGCACCCTGGAGTGGGGGGCAGCGGCTCACAAACACCCCAGACGCATCCACTCCGCTGGCCACAGACCCACTCTGTCCAAGAGGCAGTGGACAGGTCACCGCTAACTCGCCGCCACCCAGAACCTGGCCTGGGAGGTGCCACTGCAGGTGGGGGGCTGATTATTGCTACCGCCCTCAGCGACAGCGGTGTGGGGGACGACTGTGGCCACGGAGTCCTCACATCAGCTGTCATGGTTCCCTTCTAGGTTACCCGGAAACCCTCTGCTGCGGTCCACGGAGACAGGAGTGTCAACCAGCTCCCGCCGGGCTCGGAACGCAGGCCTGAAGGAGCTGCCTAGCTGCGCCCTGAGCATCCACGAAGCTGGCAGGGCTGAGCCAGCAGAGGAAGCAGGAGTCCCTGAAATGCCACCTGCCTGTGTCCACCCCACAGGGAGAGCTTCCCAGGCTACAGGCCGCAGAGGGCGTGTGTGGGCCTGGCGCAGACTGTAGGACAGGGTTTTCCCCTTAAAGAATGCGCACATGCTCACAGGGGACACAACTACAGGTGACAATAGTCTGGCCCAGAGGACAGCGCTCCAGCAGCCCTGCCCTTCCAGGTCACACTGGTGCCTACGCACAACCTGGGCACATTCTGGCCATGCGGCCCGGGACCCTCCGGGACCCTCTGCCCTCTGGCCACTTCTGCCAGCCTTACCGTTTGATATCGCCCGACGTCACCCCCGCAAGACACACCTGACCATCGCACTGCTCCCTACAGCCCACACTACTCGCGGCTAGTGCCTGCGCATTACAGACCCCAGGCTCCAACCGCGCCCGGCACTGCGCCAGGCGCCAGCAGCAGAGCAGCGAGCTGAACAAGGTCCCCAGCCTCACGGGGGAGGGACGGACAGACAAAGGCGCACTGTCACGTGAGAAGGGATGAAGGGAAGCAGGATAAAGCAGGATGGGGATGGCAAGTGTGGAGGTGGCCAGGATGCCGTTTCATGGGCAGGGGGGTGGTTGAAGGGAGGGGTCAGGGGATCCCCCTTAAATGACACATTTGAAAAAGTTATCTGGAAGAAGTGTGTGGGGGGGTCCGGGGGCGGGGCGAGAGGTACTTGGCAGGGGGGACAGCCAGTGTGAAGGCCCTGAGGCCGCGGTAATAAAGCCCTCGCTGTTTCAAGCGGTCCCGCCACAAGCAGGTTGCGGTGCTCACACCTTTACACGGCCGGCAGACCGGACGGCAGACAAACACTGTTGTTCTGGCTGCAAACCTCTTCCTAGCTGCCCGCCCCAACGCTGCGGTTTTCACCCCCTCCAAAGCCCCCCCAGCGCACCTGCCTCCCCCCCCTTCCCCAGCACCGGCCGTTTCCCTGGGCTGGGCCCGGCACAGTGCCACCTTGGCTCTGACCCTTGATGAGACGGTCACTTCAGGGTCAGCACCCAGTGTGTCCGTGAACTGAAGGCTCAAGCTGACCCTTCCTGTCCTGCCACACCTGTCCCTCCCACACGCATCTCCATGAACTCGCTGTGAATCATCAAGCAGCAGGTATGCGGAAGGGACGTCAAAGGCCACGCCCGTTCTGGCCTCCCCAAACCAGCCAGCTCTGGCGACAGCCACATTTCTTCCCTTTAAAAAAAAATCTGCGAACAGCTTTGAAATACACGTGAGTGCCACACAGTGGACATTTTAAGGTTCTCCACTGGGATTCACATTTATGACTTACTTTGGGGAAAACAGGTAATTTTTAAACACTTTTAATTCCCAAACCTGGCATGGGCCCCTCCTTCTCTCTCTAAAGGCCGGGTGGCGGTCTTCACGCCCACAAGTGTCTCACCCGGATCTGCCCTGAGTGTCTCGTGGTACGTTAAGTGTTTTTTTTAATTTATTTTTTTAGGTGAAGTGGTTTTGAACAAGGCATTTTCTGTGTCCCCTCCCCCTCGGTGGCTATTCCTCCACATGGAAGGCCACCAGCGTGGCACAGTGGCCCCCAGCGGCCGGGTGACAGGTGACGGGGTTCTCATTACTTCTAACAGCCCATCACTTGAAAGTCCCAGTCAGGTCTAGAATTTCTAAGAAAAAAGGTGAAGAAATAACATGCAGTAGCGTTTCCTGTAACGTTATTTGTAACAATAAAAACAGCACACACGGTAACCCTTACCGTAGAAACAGAGCGTCTGGTTACAGAAGCCACAGGCGGAACCCTATCGAGATGCTGACAAAAATCAGGGCACTGTTTACCTGTCCTGATGTGAAAAGTCCTCTAAGGTGGGCTTGTAAGTAAATAAAAAACAGATACACACAAGCTTTTGCTCGTATGTGCTGGTGACGGCAGTGCCGCTACGTTAGGATTACGTAAAACCAACGTGGCAGCCTAAGTGCTAACGGCACTTGCTGAAAGTGTTCTGAACTCGTGCAAGAAATCATTAAACATTAACTATGTTTCAGATATGGAAGCGTGTACGTCATGGGACGTGGCTGTGAGCTGAGGGCTCGCCCTGGACACCCTTCCCTACCCTGCCAGGCCCGCTGAGCAGCACCTGGGGGGGCCCCGGGGAGACCAGGTGTGGTCCCTCCAGGCTCACCCGGGGTGGACGCCCAAGCACACCTGCCCAGCTCCGAGCCTTCCCGCCTCTACCCTGCTCTGCAGCCTCCTCCAGATGCGGGAACAGCGAGTGCGGCAGGGGCTGGAAGAGCCGGGGAAGGGGGCGCTGTGGGTGGAGCCGAGCCAGCACGGCCATCTCGGGGACAGCGCGGAGACTGCCGCAGGCTCACGGTGGGTCTCACGGGAGGGTACGGGGCTGTAGGCGGCACGACCGCCTCATCCGGCACCCCGCGGAGTACGGCTCGGTGCCTGTGCCACTTCCTCAACAGGGCAGTCACACGCTGCCCTCACGCACAGTTATTCTGGGGAGAGGGGACGGGGGCGGGAGTATAGGGAAGGTCTCACTTTCTGCTTTCCTGTGCAGTTAATTCTGGAAAAGGAAAAAAAAACCTTTTACATGGAATCCTATGTGGAATTATGGGGCATTTGTGCTTTCTTCGTACTTTTCTGTTTAACTTAAAAACACATAAAATCGTTTCACCAGTGAATTCTACCAAACGTTTAAAGAATTAACGTCGATCCTTCTCAAACTCTTCCAAAACACTGAAGAGGGAGCACTCCCAAACGTTTTATGAGGCCAGCGTCACCCTGACGCCAAAGCCACACGCTACAGAGCAAGAGCCCCTGTGAAGAAGCCTGTGAAAATTCTCAACGAAATGCCAGCAAACTGAATTCAACAGCACATTAAAGAGTCATTCACCACGGTCAAGTGGGATTCGTGCCTGGGATGCAAGGATGGGCTCGATGTTCTCCAATAAGTGTGACACATCGCACTAATAGAATAAAAGATAAAAATCACACAATCATCTCAATAGATGCAGAAAGAGCATCTGACCAAACGTAACAGATTTTCGTGATAAAAACATTCGACAAATTGGGAATAAAAGGAACACACCTCGACATAATAAAGGCCATATCTGACAAGCCCACAGCTAACATCACGCACAAAGTTAACAGCTTTTCCTCTAAGATCAGGAACAAGACAAGAATGCTCACTCTCACCATGCCTTTTCAACAGAGTGTTGGCAGTCCTAGCCAGAGCAGACGGGCCAGAAAAAGAAATAAAAGGCATCTAAATCAGAAAAGAAGAAATACAGTTATCTCTTGTCACAGATGACATGACCTTATACGTAGAAAACGCTAATGACGCCACTAAAAAACTGTTAGAACTTATAAATGAATCAGATAAAGTTGCAGGATACAAAACTCAGCGTATAGAAACTAGCTGCGTTTCTACACAGTGACAATGAGTTACGTGAAGGAGAAATTAAGTAAGCAATCCCGTTTACTACAGCACTGAAGACGATAACACTTAGGAATAAATTTAACCACACAGTGAAAGATCGGAAACAAAACCGTACGACAGTGACGAAAGGGACAGAAGCCAACACAAACGGGAAGCTCCACCTCGCGGATGGACTCTAGAAAGATCACCGGGAAATGTCCACGCCCGCCCAAAGCCACCTACAGGGTCACTGCAATCCTGATCAAAATTCCAGTGACGTTTTTCACAGAAACAGACTATCCTCTCATTTGTTTGGAACCGCGAAAAACCCCAAAGAGCCAAAACGATCCTGAGAAAACAAAGCTGGAGGCCCCGCTGGACCCGATGCATCGTTACGTATCACGGAGCTACAGGAATCGGAACCGCGTGTTACCAGCGTGACGACAGGCGCACAGGTCGGTGGAACAGAAGAGAGACCAGGGACGGACCCCCACGCACTTAGCTACCTTTCGACGAGGGAGCTGAGAACACGCGAGGACGGACTCCTCAATAAATGGTGCTGGGAAAGCTGGACAGATCCAGGCAAAAGAATGAAAACGGACTCCTCGCAAAAATTAACCCCGAATGGACCAAAGATTTAAATATAAGACCTGAAACTGTAAAACTCCTAGAGGAAAACCTAGGAAAAAAGATCCTTGCTGTTCGTGCAGGCGACCGTTTCTGGGGTGAGGCCCCGAAGGGTAAAGCAACGGAGAGCGAAACGAGCGCGTGGGACTCTGCGACACGGAGCCGAAGCACCTGGACGCACACGGAGCCGCTGGGTGGAAAGAGGCCCACGGACCAGCGAGAAGTACTCACAAACCCGTGTCTGATGAGGAGCTGACACCCAAGATGACGAAGAACCCGTACAACTCAACGGCAAGAAAGAAAACCCCGTTAAAACACGTGCAAAGGACCGGAGCAGACACTTTCCAAAGACTTACGAATGGCCGACAGGTGCGCGGAAACGTGCTCGCCAGCACCAGGCACCAGGGAAACCGAGTCGCAGCCACGGAGATGCCACCTCCCCCCAGTCAGGACAGCTTTTACTGAAAGGCGAGGGGTGACAGATACTGGCGAGGGTCTGGAGGAAGGGAACCCTTGCGGCCTGTTGGCGAGATTGTGCAAAACAGTATGGCGGGTCCTCAAAAAATGAAAAAGTGAACTACCGTGTATGCCCCGACAATCCCACTTCTGGGTATCTATCCAAAGGAAATGAATCGGGGTCTTGAAAAGACACCTGCACCCCCACATTCAACGCCGCATTATGCACAACAACCAGACACGGAATGACATGAGCGTCCACCAACAGATGACTGGATTAAGAGGATGTGGCGTGTGCGCACGTAAACACACGTGAAGGTGTAAGCTAACCCTACTGTCGTGTACACACGTACCACACCAACGCGCTGTACACTTTAAACTCATACACGCCAACTGTATCTTAATAAAAAAGCAAAAACGGAAAAAAAACAAACCACAGAACATTAAAAAGAAAACCTAATGGCAAAGCAGGAAGCTTGATTTGTATCTGGAGGAGGGTGGTCCCACTGCTCTCCCCTGGAGACAGCGCTGGTGGCCGTGTGAACAGCCACAGGTCCCCTGGGGACAGCGCTGGTGGCCGTGAGAACAGCCACAGGTCCCCGGCCGACTCTTCGGCACAGTTGTTTCATTCGTTTTAAAAGCAACAGGTTAACATTTTACTACGGACTGGAATTATCTTTTATAAAAACTTTCCTTAAGTTTCACTCACTGATGTGAGACATTTCACGCACGGGGTTTTTAGCTAAGTTCGCTGATCTAGCACAGGCCCAGCATCGCGGCCCCAGGCGGCCGCGGCACTGTGCAGGTGCGGGGTCGCCATGTTTGTGTGCGTGTGTGCGTGTGTGTGCACGTTTGTGTGTGTGCACGTTTGTGTGTGTGCACGCGTTTGTGCGTGCATGTGCGTTTGTGCGTGCATGTGCATTTGTGTGTGCATGTTTGTGCATGTGCGTACGTTTGTGTGTGTGCGTGTGCACATGCGTGTTTGTGCGGGTGCGTGCACACGCGTTTGTGTGTGCATGTGCACACATGCATGTGTGTGCGCGTGCATGTGTGTGCATGTGCGTGTTTGTGTGTGTGTGCGTTTTTGCGCGTGTGCGTGCACGTGTTTGTGTGTGTGTGCATGTGTGTTTGTGCGCGTTTGTGTGCATGTTTGTGCGTGCGTGTTTGTGCGTGTGCACATGCGTGCGTGTGTGCGTTTTTGCGCGTGTGCATGTGTGCGTGCATGTGTTTGTGTGTGCGTGTGTGCTCGTGCGCAGGCACGGGGCGGCGCCAGGCGACCTCACTCTCGCGACTGCTCACCGCACGGCTTCCCCGCTCTGCGGCCGCCGTGCTGGACCTACTCGCGCCTCGGCGCCCTTCGCCTTGTCCTAGATCCCCCGTTTAAACGCTTACCCCACGTCTTGTCTTAAGTGACTCGGGCCTGGGCCACCTCTGACGGCCTTGGGGACCCCTCACGTGTGACGTGCCAGGTGTCGCACACCCTTTCTCTCAGAGCTCCACGTGACCGGGCGTCTGTGCCGTGACCCCGCTGTCTACAATGTGACCCCGGCCTCTGCGCCGTGACCCCGGCATCTACCACACGTACCTTTCCCGCACTCGGCGCACAGGTACTCCCGGATGTTGTCGTGCACGCGCATGTGTTCCTTCAGCATGTCCTTCCTGGCAAAGGACTTCCCGCACTGCTCACACGCGTGGCTCTTCACACCTGAACAACAAACGCATCGAAATCTCAACCATGTCGCACCTGTGGTTACGGCATAACGGCAGTAACAGGGAGGGAGGTGGCCTCCGGTGACAAGTGAGCCACCCCTTCCCTCCACCTTGGGGAAACATTCCCTTGGGCTCTGTGGTGTGGACCCGGAAGGGGTGACGGGCAGGGAGGGCCCTCGTTGGGAAGGGGAGCAGCAGCCGGCAGGAGAATGCATAGAGGGGTGGGAGGGCAATGCAAGACACGGCAGGACACCTGGGGACGAGGCCAGGGCCCGGCCTCCCAGCAGGAACACCCACCCGTGTGGATGAGTTTATGCCGCTCCAAGTTCCCAATGCTGTTGAAGATCCGCCCGCAGATCTCGCAGGGGTGAATGTACCTGGAACAGACATGAGCCTCAGGCCGCCCCGCCGCCCCGGGGCCTGCCCCACTCAGCACCTTTATCCGCAAAGGCGAGGCCAGGAAGGTGCAATGGGGATGACAAAGGACACGAACATTTTCAGGCTCCATTAAGAGCTGAAATGTGGCGTGTTGAATCCACCTGCTGAAGCTGTAATGACTGGTATCCTTATAAAAAGGGGGAACACCGTATGAAAACACAAGGAGACAGCCGTGTACGAGCCCAGCGGGCAGGCCCAGGGCAGAGTCTCCCTCCACCTCAGAGCACGCCAGCCCTGCAACACCTGGATCTCGGGGCGCTGGCCTCCAGCACTGAGAAAGCCCATCTCCGCTGCTGGAGCCGCCCAGTCTGTGCACTTCGCCATGGCCGCCGGGTCGGCTACTCCGGCCCTACACAGGGCCGTCCGCGCACTGGCCCAGGCTCAGAGCACTGACCGCACGCTGCAGCAGGCACGAGCTGGCACTTGGGGAACCCCATCACAGGTGGGAGGAAAGGGCTTCTGGTGGCTCTGCAGGCCTGTACTGTGACCTGCTTGTGCCGAGTCCAGGAAGGAGTGTGGCTGACAGCATGAACGAGGCCGGGGCTCCCGAGGAGACCGACTGGCCGTTGGCGCACCCCTCCCAGCCCTGCCCCGTCCCGCCGCCCGGGCCGCACTTCTGCACGTTGGGGTCGGGCAGGTCCTCGCGGTGGATGACCATGTGGGCGTGGTAGGTGGCCTTCAGCGCGAAGCGGCGGTTGCAGATGCTGCAGCCGTAACCCTTCTCCTTGTGCACGTCCGTGATGTGCCTCAGGTACTCCTTCCCGCGGCCGAAGGTGAGCTGTGGACCGGCACACGGCTCACACCCCGCTCCGCCACGCACCAGGGTGCCGAGACGCCGGGGGAGCCCCGCACCCCAGCAGACACGGAGGCGCTCTAGAGGGTGGGCCCCAGCTCCGCCTGGGCCCCCTGAAGGCCCTGGCCTCCCCTCCACCCGCCTGACCTCCCTGTCCCTTGCCCACGCCCACTGGCCCTGACAGCTGCGTGGCTAGTATGCACATCACAGGGGACCCGCACTCAGCAGTGGACTGCACGCTGCCGGGCACCGACCACTGCCCACAGCTCGGGTCCCCTCGGGAACAAAACCATCCCCCAGAGCTTGGCTCCTTCCTTGTCTGCCTGGGCAACATGAGGGGAAGGGCCACGGGCCCGAGGGGACGAGGAGACGTGTCCCCACCGGGTCGGCCGCACAGCTGTGCAGGGGCCAGTCAGGAGACTGGCTCTGAGAGGGTGGACCGTGGTGAGACCTCCGTGAACCAAGCCCTAGAAACACAGGGACGCGGGCAGCCTCTGGGACACCTGGGGCGTGGGTGCCCGGCTCGGGCGAGGGGCCCCCCCACACTGGGCAGCCCCGGGCCCCAACTCCCCGGCCCCCGGCGTCCCACCTGACACCGTTTGCAGCTGTACTTGTGGGGCTCGGAGTCCGCGCTCTCGTCGGAATTGTCGTTTTCTTCCGAGGAGATCCCGATCTTGCCGATGAACTCCTCCCGCTGCTGGTCGTCCATCAGCGCAATGTCCTGGAACGGTCGGGGTGCCGGTCAGTGACACGCCCGGCGGAGCTCCAGCCCGCTCTTCACCCCGCAGTAACGAGGTTCGCACGCGGGGAGAAGGCAGCGCCTGGCGGGAAGTCCCACTGAGCATCCCTGGAGGGACGGGCCGCTCCCTTGGGTCACGCCCCTGCTTGCATTCAGACAACACAGTGCTCAGGCTGACCCTGAGGGGTAAGGGCGGGGGACAGCAGAGCCCTGCCCCGTCCCCGGTCCACGCCCAGTGCTGCCTGACTTGGGGACACCTAATGGCTCCACAGGGTGGGGTCAGAGGACTCTAAGGCCCCTCTCCACGTGGCGTGGCTGGGATTGCACTGATGTTCCATTTACTTCTCTGAAAAAGTCTGCAAAAAACGCTTCAGCGGGCACTCTGCAGGCCAGAACACGGAGGGGCAGCTGCGGGGTTGGGGGGCCGTTTCAGGGAGTCAACAGCCACGTGTGGGACGGAGGGGCTCGCCATGCAGGGTGGCCGGTCCCATCCGAGGGCTGGAGGGGGCCGCCGCCCACTCTCCTGCCCCTGCCGCAGGCCCCAGGTTTCGCCTTGAAGCACAACCTAAGACTCTGGGGAGGGGTGAGCGGTCCCTCTGGAAAGCTCGCTACGCTCTCCCCGATCGCTCCGGCCGCAGCAGAGGCTCCACAGAGGGCTGCTGCCTGCTGCTACCGCACCCCCCCTCGGCCTTGTCCTTGCCTCGTTAGCAAAGGGAGGGCCTAAAAGCATGGCCTGAGGACAGGCACCGCTGGTGGCCACACACCCCCCA